CTCTTCTACTCTTCTACGCATATTTTCAATTTTAATCGCATAAAAATTCACGAATACGGAATATTCCTTCTTTTTTTTTTCAAGCATTGTAAAACATTCGTTATTCAAATTTTACATTGTTACGTACTTCCAGTTTGCGTGATTAATTTTTAATCAATACGTACACATTTTCTCTCCTGTTCGAATTATTTCTTTTTTCGTTCGTCGGAAATTTGATAAACGTCGATAAAAAGAGGTAATCAAGGATTTTACTAAAATGACACTCCGTATACGTTACGTAGGCTCGTGTTTATGGTGCTCGGAGTCGCGAACTGATGCATGGCTCGTGATGCATTGCGTATGAATATTTAAATGCACCCGGTCTCCTCGTATTGCCCTCGTATGTATAATATTATATGAGGGAGACGTATTCACGGGATGCGTCGTCAACACTGCCGGTACGCTCGTAAATAACGCGAGAATTATGGCGTATTTTGTAACCAATTTGAAGTAATAAATTTCACCCCTTTGGAGAACGTGACAACCTGTAATGTGAGCGCCGCTAATGTCCTTTCATTTATTCATACGTTACTGGCGAAAATGAGAAAGAGAGGCAACTTTACTTCTCAAATGAGATTCCAACCGGGCGATAAACACGACCGATTCATTTTCGAATATCAGATTAACTTACGTTTTAATTAGAAATCAATCAACTCGTACCATTCGATAGCTATAGAATTCAAATATTTTTTCTTTTTTATTCATAGGCGATTTTGAAAGTTTACGTGGCTAATTGAAATTCAGTTTAGATTATGGCTCAACGTGACGACAACGAACCAGAACGATTGATTACCCGTGTCTCCTTTCATTGTTAATTCGTGAAGCATTTACGGACCTTAGCTATGTAGGTTAAGTTAATTAGGATGTACCTGGTAAATTTCTCAGTGTAGCCTTTTGTTTCCCTTTGTACCAACAAACTTGCCTCTCTTTACGTCAAACTCTCTACATCAAACAGCTTAGATTTTGATTTTTTTTTTCTGTGAAACGTCGAGGATCTAACTACATCGATGATTTCGCTTTAATTTTCATGGTTAACGTATGAAACGTATTTGTAAAAAAAATGATTTTCCGAAATGATCTTCGAATTCTAACAATCGAGTTTGCTTTTTTACCTAATAAAGAAACTAATCGAACACGGTGCATCGCGGTATAGTAATCAGCGAGAGGTGCCGATTTCTCGGGCCACCGGAGCTAAACTTCACCTTTGTATCTAACCCCAAACCAGTAGAACCGGATTTCGTGAGAATATGTCCCTCGAGGCTTGAAAAAAGAAGGGAACCAAAATGAAGAAGCATAGAAGAATTTCGTTGGTACCGTGTTTAGACATTATTGCGCATCAGCCCGTGGATCCTCCTTTCGGATACGTTTCTGAGAGTCATTCTGCAGGCTCGCGTATACTACTTATGTACTTCTTATTCGTGTATTCGATCGTGTGTATTAAGATATTGTTCGCTAGGGTGTAAATTAAAGTTCTGTAAATTTAGGTTTTGCAATGGAGTAAGAAACGTTAACCACGGTAGTTTCACCGTTCTGTTCAGTTACAATCACAGCGGAAGGTATTTTAGAGTTGCAGCGGCTATTAGAGAGATGCAAGTTCGTTGTCTTCAAACACCGAACAATAAAGTATTGTGGATTCTTCATACGTGAGAAAGATAGCTGAACAGTAGCTCGTTAAAAAGGAAGATACGTTCTACGATCTTCTAGATCTTACGTTCTCGCGAAAATCGTAGGTACTGTTACAATGTATGAGACTTCAGAAAACTTCGTTAGGATCAACTTTCGTTCTAACTATCAAGCTTCATTCTAACTGAATCGAGAAGATAGTGCACGAAATCCTTTTTTTTCATTAATACTTCGACTAGATTTCAAAGTTATCATTTATCTAAATTTTATAATAAGACTCGTTTTATTTGTTCGTTGTTATTTATGCACTTTACCAATTTTTTTTTCTAATTGTTAATACTTGCTCTCTCCTCGAAATGTAAAATTATAATTAATCGTCGATTTTCTTTTCACGAATGCAGGAGAATCGAGTTATGAAGGATTAAGAAGTGAATGTATGAATTTTGTGCTTCATATAACTACTTAAGTACTGAAGTATCAATTCTTTTACCACATTCGAAGGTAAGGAAAATTTATATAGCAACAATTCGTTTTATTTTTCTAATGTAAAAATTGCAATTTTTCCAATTCCTCCAAAATCTCGTCGTACCGAGCAAAAATTGTCCCATCTCCAATCCCTCCAAAATTTCATCTCTCTTTCAAAATCAATCTCTCCTTCTCTCGATTTTTTAATCTCACCAAAATCTCGCTACATCGGATCCTAATCTTCAATTCTTCAAAAATCCCTCTTCAATCTGAATTCTGAGATCTCTCGAAAATTTCATCTCTCTTTCAAAATCAATCTCTCCTTCTCTCGATCTTTTAATTCCTCCAAAATCTCCGAATATAAAACAAGGATTTCCAATCCTGCGATCCTCAATTCTGCGATCTCTCGAAAATTTCATCTCTCTTTCTTTCCATCTTTCAATTCCTCCAAAATCTCAGGATACTAACCAAGGATTGTCCAATCTCCAATCCTTCCAAAATCTCTCTTTAATCCCAATTCTGCGATCTCTCGAAAATTTCATCTCTCTTTCTTTCGATCTTTCAATTCCTCCAAAATCTCCGAATACAAAACACGGATTTCCAATCCTTCCAAAATCCCTCTTCAATCCCAATTCTCCGATCTCTCGAAAATCTCATCCCTCGTTCTCTCCGATTCCTCAAAAATCTCACGATAACCGACCGTAGGATCGCCCGATGCAATCAACTCCGTGCAAACCTGAGGTCGTGGAACATCGAACGCGGCAATACGATCATGTATCGCGATCGAGCTGCGATTGGAAGTGCATCGACCGTCTGTTTCCTCGACGGGGTGGAAAACAAACGGATCGTTTGCCTCTCACCGAGGACAGATAGAGAGGAGATAACACGTGAAAGGGGAGCGCGCGACAGAGACAAAGCCGATGTTCTGCTCTGACCATTACTCCTCTTGCTTCGTGTCGGTGATTTTTAAGGTCGAGATGGTTCGCGATCCCTTGGAATACCGGCGAGAAGTTGCACCGGCATTCTACAACGGCGTCGAGACGTTGTTCCTTAAGGGGAACGGTCTCGCTTAAGGATAACTAACTGATCGATTCAGAGCTACGCCAATGCATTTGTCCCGTAACGGGGCTCGAACTACGGTCCGCTGTTCGCGTACTCGAAACCCATCGCTTCCTGTACCAACGACTTTTTTTCTCGAGCGACCAGGCTTAATTAAATACCGGTAGACCGAGGCATCCGTGTCCTCTTCGGCGGCGGAGAGAGGCCGCGGCGTTACGTGACTGCGACGCGATTTTACCTTGCTAAGGACGGGGATGCACGGAGAGAGACGGCGAAAAACACCGCCACCGATATAGGGGAAATCTAGGTAACGAACGAACGAACGAACGAACGAGTCGCGGATGCTTTCGTGCAGGAAACTGTCCAGAGGCGAACGGTTTGTCGGCGTTGAGTAATGTTTGCACGCTACGCTTCGAGTTTGGTAATCATAAGGGGGGAAAGATTCGTGGAAGTTGAAAGGGATCGAGAGAGATCCACGGCGATACTCGATTATACGCGGCATGCATGGGAAACGTGGTAAAGAAGAATGTTTTTTCTTTTTTTTTTTTTTCTTCACTTCAACTTGAATATCGAATACAAAAATTTTCATATTGAATAAAATATGAAGGGAAGAGATGAGAGACGTGTTGATTGTTCGGTTACGAGAATTTTCAAAGTTCGGGGATTCCCGGAATCGATTACGTTTCGGCCAGCTGTGACGCGCTTCGGAGAAGCGATCATTACACCGCGTGCATTTTTTATCGGTGGACCTGCCAGGCATCGAAATTGATTTATTAAATCGGTGAAACTTCGTCGATCCCCCGTGTCACGCTGCACGAACGCAACGCGGATGAATTTTTGAGGGTTTTGACGTAAGTTCGGTATTCCCGTCTTTTACTTGTTATTACGTAAAATTCGATAAAACGAACGACGTTGCATTTGTTCGTTTTTTAAATATTTATACGTAGAGTTTGTACGTATGCGTGTTTCAAAGGATACGCAATAAAGCAATGATTTAATTCCCGTCCACATTTCAAAAGTCGTAGTATGCAACGAAGAGAAAAAAGGAGTCGAGAACGACGCACGACACCTACACCTGGCCGGTTGATGGTTACGCACACAGGTTCGCGATATAAAAGGACCTGTCTCCATGAATGAAGTCAAGTGGCCACGTGATACAGAGGAAAGGACGCGAGGGAGGCGTGCGCGTGAAAAGCGCGCCAGTGGTTTACGCGCGGCATCGGGTGTTCGGTGATAGGTCGACAGATGGCGCTGGTGTCGCGTGGCGGTCGGTTGAAACACCTGACTGCTGCCTAGCAGTGCGGCATGGACTCGTGCGGCAAGCGCACACTTCTTTTAAAACTGGTAGCACGCGCGACCCCGGATAATTGTTTTTATTTTCGCGACCGTGGACCGCCGCGTACGGTTGCGTGTACGCGAGTGACAGTCGACGAGTGTGTAATGTCCGGCGACTGACAGCCCTTCGGCCGATACGAAATCGACGGGGACGGGATCGGAGACGAAGAGGATTCGCAAAGTTTCACCGACCTCGAGTTTCTCACCCGTGAACCGTGCACTCGTTTCACACGCGGTTCTGTCCTGTGCGCAGTAATTATGACAGTTGGCTCGATCTGCGCACGCATCGAACTCGCGCCCTCCAAGGGCCAACTTCGCGTCGTATCGTATGTCTGAATTGCGCGGGCAAAATGCGCGAATCGTAACGAACCGCGCGTCGACGTATGTTACCGATCGTTTAATCGCGTCTCGTTCGTATATCGGCGTGTTGTGTAATTGGGTGGTTTGATGATATGCGAGGATCGGCGGCCGGTACGCAATCACGACGTTCGAACTTCCCGCTTCGAGCGCTCGACAATTTCGAGCTTTCGTCTTCGAAGCACCGATTCTCGCGACTCGCGAAAATGTGATCGAACGGCGTGGGCTGTGTCGCGCGACGGATTTTTCGTGGCCGGTTTGCGTGCGTGTTTGCTCGGTCAAAATGACGGTGAATCGATCGTGGGTGACGATGGTGTTGATGCTGGTGACTTCCGTGATCGTGCTGGCTCACGCGAAGGATGTGACGACACTGGAATACGACGACCTTCTTCCGGCGAACGAGACCAACGCCCGGCATCGCGTCGATACAGGTCAGTTCGTGATTTTCGTTTCATTTCTTTTTGTCCTGCATCAAGCCTCGAAGTTACCGACCCTTCTATTCGACGCTTTGTTATTGTATCAAATTACGAGTGACCAGTTATTGACATTTCTTTCGTTCGAATTCCAAGTACAATTAACGAACGCACCAGATGGTGCCATGTTGTTTCGAGGCATTTCGGGGAATTCGAACGGAATGTAAACAACCTTTTTTCCAAACACTTGGACGCTTCGGTCGAAGACGTTCGCTTTTTCAGCTGTATGAAATGAATACACGTGCAACGCAAAAACTACGTAGATACGTAAAATCGCGAATTATACTGTTTACTATTCCTCGTTGCTGCATACATGTATTTTAACGTAGTATACATAGGTTTTCTAACCTTTTTATCGCAGTTCAAACGTACATAAATATTTCTCATTAATACGTGTCTTTTTCTAACTATAGCATTTGCATGTTGTCGTTTCTCATGTTTCAACTCGTTTTTTGCTTCTTTCCAAGCGTTGGAAGGAGGCACTGTTATTAATTCCAAGAACCATATTTCCGAGAATCACATGTTTCTATTTCTTTGTAACCAAAGTTTCGCGACGTTGTCCTTTCTGATTTTATACACGTCACGATTTGCATTGAATGTCACTGCTCATTTAAATTATCGAAAGTGTCGCTTATGCTCGTTGCACAATGTGTGTCACGATGCCTCTTTCAGACGTACGACCTTACTGTAGGAACGATATTAGCAATGTTAATAGCACGTACTATTTTGTACACTATATATATATTATTTTTCTTTTCTTTTCAATCGTACACGTTAGACGTGCAACGTTCAACGATTACCATAGAGAAAAAATAATTTTTATTTTCATCATGCCCCTTTTAAATCATTCTATTAACGTATTCGTCGTATAACGGGAACATAAATATTTGTAAACGTTTTCTGTTCGTCGCATGGCAATTGCACTCTCTCGAAATCAACAGTATGACGGTGAATGCTTGAACTTTGTTACTCGTCTCGGATTTGCCGGGGAAGAATGACCTTTGCTCTAACGCTTCTGTGAAAGTATTATACGTTCGCCGAGTAAGGCCTTGTGCCTTTCCGAAGTAATCTTCTAACGCACGCCTACTTTTCACGGGGAAATTCAATTTTCCTTTAGTTTCTTTCCGTTGAAAATTCGCGTGAAATCGCAACGTTGTGCAATATATTTTCACACTTCTCTCCACGCGTTTATTGTACTATTATTTCCTCGATTTATATATATATATGTATATCAGAGGCTATAAAGCAATCATAAATTTGCAACACGTGTTAGGAAACACCTGGGACTATTGTTTAGAAACTATTACTTGCTATTCCAAATAGCAATAATAATGTTTTATATAAAATTTCCAATCTACAGGGTGGTTTAGAAGTTTAAACGTCTGTAATAAAATAGATGTTTTATTTTATCGAAATAAATTTTTTGTAAAAATATATTCGAATTTATTTGATATGCAAGTTATATAAAAAGAAAGTATTTTACGGTTCGATACATCAGAATGAATGTTGATTTAGATGAATTCCTTGTTTATTATTCGACGCAAAGGAGGAACGAGTTTGTAAGATGACTTGTCCCCGTTGCTCTGATAATTCACGTCGATGTAACCGGTGCCGGAGTAACATCCGTAGCAAAAGTTCAGATTACATAATTCACAGCGAAATCGTTCAGCTGGTCGTTTCGCTGCTCAATTTTAATTGCGTGCATCTAAGTTGCACGAGTGTTTTTAATTTGGTTGTTTGGTCACGCTGCGACATAATTTATCGACACTCTTCGTCGAATTTGTTGCATTCGGACGAAATTTTTTAAGTAGAGTTTACTTAAATTCTTCTCCCAATTATCCATCGTTATTTCAAATTTTGACTAGAATTTTTATTTTTCCGGATAATTGAATAGGAAAATTTATGTATCTGGATAATTTCGAAATGAAAGAAGTGTTAGATTTATCAGTCAGTTCGATGTAACAAAAATTAATCTTAAAGCCTTACTAGAAAGTATACATATATTTCTTTTGTATACTAAATGTTTATGATACGTGACAAAAGGACCTTCGGTCCCAAGCGTAGGAGCATTCTTAGTCTGTATACAGTGCTCTTACCATCAAGTGGAAAAGCGAAGCTTCCTTGTGTCTAATAAAAGTATATAGATTAAAATAAGAATTATTAATTATTTAACAACCGGTAACTCCCATAATCCAACAAGAATTACGAATTAAAATTCATTCGAAATCGATACTCAGATATTAAGGAATATTTATAATCTACTATTTTTACGTAATGAGAACACTGCGATAATTTTTGTTCCACCGGCGCATTGAACAGGAAATTTTATCTATTTAATCAATCCCGACATAAAAGAATTATAAATTAAGATTTCTTCGAATCCTAAATAATACAATTATGAATTAAAATTCGTACAGAAGATTTCTTGGAATATCGAAATCGATAGTCGAGGTATTCAAGAATATTTCTAATCCACTACTTTTACGTAATTAGTATAAATAGCTGTATTCCTCCAACAATTTCGTCTATGATCAGCAGCTTAATTAACGCGCGCCAACTCGAACGTTTCCCGATTAAAATCTCGCATTCCAATGTACCGTTTAATTACGTAACACCTATCTGACCCTTTTGCTCAAGGGTTAACCCCGATTAATACGTTCACCTTTGTCCAGGAACAATATTCTCACGCCGTGAAAGAATGCCAAAAGATCGGTATCGGTCATCCGTTGGACAACGTCCATCGGTTTAATCGCGTTCGTTTGATTTGCATTCGTTTAGAAAGGCGGAAATGCGTTTCTGTGCGTGTTCAGGGAGGTGTCGTGCGCCAACTCGATGAGCCACCTAAAGGTGCGTCTAACTGTGCGTACAAATTGGCAACGTGATCGAGCTTTCTATCGACAACGGAGAGAACGTTCGATAGAATTTGACGTTCCGCCACTATTGGAACCGTGAACATGTCACGCGTCGTTTCGATCGCCGAACGATTAATCGAGTCAAAATTCCCTCCCCCTGTTTGCCTTAAGGATCTCCATGTATGCACACCGGTATACCGGTGTGAAACAATAGAGGATATGGTGTAACGTGGACGTGTCGAAACCGTGCTGCAACGAAATTGATTCAGAGACATTCTAACCGAGTGATCGCGAACAATTGGACTTTTTCTAATTTAATAAGGCGAAACTTCCACGTCCGACCGTGTCCTGTCGTTACGATCTCTTGGGTATTGCCGTTTGAACGGAGTGGGTATGGAAGAAAGGACGTCGCGGTAATTGGTTTACGTTTGATCGAAAATACCTGGACTGTGGATTTAATTTAGTGTCCCGCGAGTGAAGAGAAATGAGTTTATGTCGAAAATTCGCTTCTTTCGAGATTCACAGCGGTTTTTGTAATTCAATTTTCTGTACCTTTGCGACTTTTGATTTCCAGCGAAATTTCAATTTTTAGCGAAAATTTTCACTTCTATTCCCCATCTATCATACTCACTTCACTCAGCTTTGCGTGATTTATTTTCGAAACTGAGGAGTTCCCTAAAAGGTCGCACTTTCCAAGCGACTACTCTAGTGTGCAATATCTAAAAGTGCCCAAAAAGAGTGTTCTCAGAATTATAAAAATCGTTAGCAATGGGGGCCATTTTAATTCACAATAATTTTTTACTAAAAAAGTTGTGTGACTCTGGTCCATCTATTTTTTCTTATCAATCTCGCTCATAAAGATCCCTTTCTTTCTATCCCTCTTATTCCCTAATTTTTCCTAAAAAAATCCTCCACTTCCTCTCTATTCTCTAATCCACGGAATTAAGTACGTATAATTAATATCACTTTTCACACCCGTATTTATCTAATCGATTCGCTATTGATGTAACGTAGCAGTGATTTTCACCGGATAAGCGAATCAAAGTTATTTTCAGTATATACGTACGTACGACAGTGTCTGGCACACCTGATGCATATGCATGCACTAACGTAGACGTGCTGCCAGCGTAGAATTCTTTTTCAGCCTTGGTGAGAATGGTGGTGGGCCGTTGTACGTGTCGAGCCTGTTGTTAACAGACGCCTGGAATCGCGTGAATCCTGCCAAGGGGTTAACTGTATAAGAGGCTGATCTGCTTCGAGCATTTGTTTAACGATATACCTGCACCGTTTACGGTTCGTTAGCGTTATTTACGGTTCGGTACTTGTTCGTTAATAAATCACGGGCTACTTTGGGCAGACGCAACGTATATACCAACTTGTGATTCCTTTTTCCCCGCTGTTCACGACAGTTGCCCGCTGCGTTGGAATTAATTTGCCTTTTTGCGCACGAGAAATTGAAACCCGCGCTGTTACTTTGTTGCATGAAACGAAATCGATCATATGTGATGCATCATGCTGCATTGTGTTCTGGGAATATTTTCGACACTTTGACACGCCATTCGTTTCTCTTGTACAATGCTAGGTGTAGCAATAAGTAACGCAGGATTTTTTGTAACGAGACAGAAATCACCGCTTGACAATGATTCTGTGGAATAATTGAGAGATTGTCGATTTTTTCAGTTTCTTACTTCTGTACACTTCTAATTTGAGAAGGGAAATTGAAAAAGAGAAATTAAAATATCTGAATTTGATAAAAGGTTTGATTATTCGTTGGTGCATCTCATATACTGTGCTTTAAACAATTGGGACACTTCGAGTACAGGAAGACTCGACACGTGGAAATTACTGTAATTGCCAAATTACGATAATTTTCCAAATATGTCGATTAGATTGTGACTATTTTCGAATGTTAGAATTCGTCTGGTTTTCCAAGCACTCTTTTCATCACTTGGAAATCTTATCGGAAAGATGTAAGGGTTCGCAGAAGCGCGGGAAGTAAAATAAAGGATGCTGTAAGATGGGAAGAGCCGCGCAGCACGGTGTATAGGAACGTTCATGTGCGTTTTGATAACAGAATCTACGTACAAGATCGTGAGCTTACTTCTT